TTTCTGTTCCACAAAGGAAACAAATTAATATGAGAGGGTCCTAAAAACAAAATTTCAGAACTTTATGAACATGGTGATGGTGACAATAGTTTGGTTGATTTTTCCATGCAGAAGTATTCCCTAAGCTATCAACTTAACTCACCCAGCCCTGTATAGCCTATAAAATCAAGAGTTGATACAGGGGCTGGAGCAATTACAAATGAAACACAGAAAAAGAAAAATGACATGGACAAAAAGTGCTGCAGTCCATCCCTTTGTGGTACTTAATTCCATAAGGACTTATTGGCAGTACAAGCATTTTGTGATAGCACAATGTATCTCAGTGCCTTCCACAGCTCCATACTGTTTGCCCTGATGGCCAAATTCCACAGTTTAATATAGTCTGCATTTTTATCCCACTTTCTACAAAAATAAGTAGCAGAACAAGTAGCAAGGAGGGAAACAAAGACTTAAACTGCCAGTAGAGCACCATGACCAGTCACATGTAGGAACAGGCTTGCATTTATTTTTGCTTTTAAAATTTTAACATTATTGAGGGAATGGGATATAAAAAATAAAATGCAGCAAGAAAGCTAGAGGAGGTAAATTCAAGGCTACCAAGTGCATTAAAACAACTTCAAGGAAATAGAAGAATTTTTAAAACAGAGTTGTCTGGGGAGTACTTTTTATGTGCTCGCAGCTAGTTTCTAAGTGTATTCCCTCTGCTGAAGGAATCATGTGCTTAACACATGTGCTTGCTCAGGAATAGGCAATTGACAGTTGTGCATATTGCAAAATATGCTGACATTCCCTAGCAGCTCTGCTGGAAGGGGATTATATATCCCAGTGATACCAGGCTGAGAGAGACCCTGGGAATAAAGAAACTAGCACATCTGAGTAAAGGGTCACTTAAAACACAAGCTTTGAGTGCATCTACTACAAACCCTCCCTATCCCACTCTAACTCAGCTGCAAACCCTAGGGGGAACAAAGGGCATTGACTGCAGTGAAACTCTCCTTTCCAAGAAGCAAAGCAGCCTTTCTGGCCACCAGCTGTAACAGCTCCCCACAGGCCCCTGCCATCCCACAGGACCCCAGCAAGCAAGCTGCATGCTGCCTGCCCAGCTCCTGTACTGGAGGGCAGGCTGTGGAGCTGGCAGTGCTGTGCCTGGCAGACACCCCTACGGTCCCCATGCATCAGCAGCTCACCCCTCAGCAACAGCGTCCGAAAGATGCCAGGAAAGAGAAAGCAATTTCACATGAGAAATGTAACATCGGAAGTCCTGACCACTTCTGACCACCACAGATCCTGCTATGCTCTCTGTGAGAACCGTTTGGCTCCTGGACTGACTCCAGTTGGTGGAGCTGCGCCTACCAGGCAATTACACCTTCTGGAACTGTCCTGGCAGTTTCAATTCGCCACGGTGCTACTCACTTCCTTTCAAGTTGCCATGGAATGTTACGGCATGCTGACAAGCAGCTGTCATCTCTCGGCCACGAGGTGGCTGCATGGCAGTGGCGAATGAAAGCCATTCCTGTGTCATGGAAAAGCCATGACATGAAAGCCATGCTCCGTGTCCTTGCCCAGGATAGAAAATGCCTTGGGGTTCCTTGGGGGTGAGCAATGCTACCTAAGTGTAGAGTCATAGTTAGTTATCAAATGGTAAAAGAGCTCACTGCAATGTAGCCAGGATGCTCTGGGTTATTTCATTCTTTGAATTTAATACTATCTTGTAAAAATCTTCTGCCTATGTGTCTGTACACATAACACACGGTAATGGTGTGTTTTCACTTGTTTCAACAATAGAAAAAAGACTGAAGATTACTGAGCTTCTTAGCCACGCCTTGAAAGAAAGCATGAGGCAGCCACCCCTCACTTCCTCTAGCAAACCACTGAGGAATCCTGTACTATTAGGATTTGTTCCAAAAAGGACTAAAATCTCTGTTACCAGCACACTGGGCCACTATCATAATAGCATTCATGGCTACTCCATGAATGGCCCCCACAGCCAGTGAGGATAATTCAGGCCTAAATGTGTTATCATTGTGAGATCCCTGTGGATCATGACTGAATTCTGTCGAGAGAAACCCAATCCCTGAAGCATCTCCAGGTTCACTATCTCAGCCATTCAACTTGGAGCATCTTGTTCCCAGGTCATGAAATAGCTCATATGTCACCTACAACAAAATAATCTCTCTGACACCTTCAGGCATCTCTGCACAATCTCAAAAGAAAAAAAAAAAAAAAAAGCTAACAATAATCAACATAATCAACTGAAGCTGAAAAAAAAAGGCATAATACTTTTTTTTTTCTTAAAAAAAACAGGTATTCTCTGTCTGGCCTATACAAGAAAGAGATTCCAGCTAATAATTGAAAAGATCCTGTCTATTCATGTCTACCCAAATGACCTCTATAGTCAGACAACTTAATAAAATCACTGCTAATCTTCATGCCACACCATCAGTCAGCATCTTAGGTCTTCCCCAGGCACAAAAAAAATCCTATGACATGCCTGTTTTGATTTGGAAACATCTTGGTGTTAGAAACAATATTCATAAGAAGGGTGAGTGGTACTAGAGCTACAAAACTGTGGTCCCAATAAACTTCTGCTATTAATATCATACTTTGATTGGCCTGTGAAGCACTGGCAATTTTACTTTAAGGAAAACTTTATGCTTACAGACTGCAAACAAACAGCAGAACTGAAGTCCAAGCATTCTCTGAAACACTTTTCTTTCTTTTTCATCAACATCTGATTAATTTTATCAAAACATTCAATAATTGAAACAGTTTGACCTCTCCGAGGCTTCCCATGGCAATGGGTGACTCTCTGTGTTCCTAAGATGCAAATGTTAACTGAAGCTCCTCTGGCACCTGGGACATGGTACCTCCTCCCATCCTGTTAATTCCTGGGCAGTTGACATTCACACTGCTGTATTATCTTCCCTGTACTTTCCAGTTTTAAGGAACTCTGAGTCTTCAATGCCTCTCTCTCCTACAGCTTTTATTTCTGGCTCCCCCAACATTTTTGGGGAGAGGTAACAGCTTTGCTTCTTTGGAACTTAAGCTGTGCATCTCAGAACCCTTCATCAAGGGAGCACAAAGCTGATACCCTAATGACCATTTCTGTCCACCAGCTTCTCTGGCAGTATGACCTTTCTAAGCTTTCTTTAAGCTGTTCTGGAATATAGCAATCAAAAATTCTCCTCCTGGCTTTCCCCCTCACCTGCCTACTCAATATCTCTGATGTAAAAAAAGAGATTTTCACATTACACAAGAGCATAGGCATAGATTTTCAGAGTACTACAGAATCAAGTGTAGTTTAATTAATCTCTTTAAATCTTTCTCCTTCATGAACATCTTAAAAAACCAAAAAAAGGCTATTTCAAACATTTGACTCCTATTAACAACAGAGTACACTAGTACGATTTAGCAGTGAAACATTAAACACACTAAACATACCAAGCTACCAACATATTAAAAATGAGTGTGGTACTACAGAAACCCCAAACTGATGGGTGGTTTCTAAGCAAGTGAAATAATTCATCACTTGGTGAGACATAAAGCTATATCAAACGTGAAGCACAAGCAGTCACTTAGAAAAATTCAGGTTTATGACATTCTCACGAAAGTTTGCCTTAAGCACACATGCTACCAGAAAACCTAACTTTAAAAAGTGTTGGGGCTTCTATTGTTACTGTTCCTTTTGAGTTTTTTCCCCCCTTCTAATGCTAGCTAACTCAGAGAAGTAAAACAATGCTAGAATTAAACTGATCTAAATTTTAGGAAGTCTTTACCTTGTCCTCATTAGTAGACTCAGTATTTGCCAGGAAAGTACAGCAATGACAGTGCATTGCCATCTTGAGGCTTCCTACAGAACTGCACAGCCCAGTCAATACACATCAACTTGCTACCAACCACAGCAGTCATTCAACCAAAAGTGCCAAAGCCATTATAAAACATGCAGCATTAACACCATATTTTTCTTCTTTATTTTATGTCAGGGCTTCAATAGTTCCATTTTGGGACTATAAACTTCTAAAGAGAGAAAACCCTTACATAGAATAAAAACAAATTAACAGATAGAGCTATTTAGCATAATTGATTCTGTCAGGAAGAGAATCAAGACTATTCATCTCATATTAACAAGAAAAAGCTGAAATTAAAGCTTAATTAATAATAGAGATTTCCCAGATCCTTTGAAATTACTACATGAGTTTAATTCAGCACCAAAGACTGATTCAGCTTAAAAAATTACCCCGAGTAACTACTGCATGCAATACTATGAAAACCTAAGTACACAGTTACACATATAAACATATCTGTATTATCTAGTAACATAGGAGTGCTCATAAAGAAAACAGAATACTTTCCAGATAGAAAACATTCTGGTGTGGGTTCAAAGGGTTAGAAGTCACCTAAGTTCATTCAAAGGTAGTAGCTATGTGAATTCTCCTTGCAAGAACTTTTACACAAATCTCTGTAACCAAACCTATGTAATTATCTGGCACCCTGCTCAAATAAAAACTACAGATGTCAAATGCATAAACACTCTAATGCTTCAGCCTTTTCTATCTTTTTTTTTTTAAAATTAATTAGTACTTTGGAAAAGATCATTTGGAAAACACATGTATATGGATAATGTCAACACATGTCGATATTCCTACCTGAAATAGCATGGAATATACTTGAATCTACAGTCACATGGGAAGCACCAAGCTGAAACTGTGGGGTGTATATACATATAATTGATTGGTATGAATGCTTTTAATAGAGGTGTGGGGCAACTGATTTTGCCTGTTTGTGAAACCAATTGCATCTGTGAGGCTACTTACAAAGAGCTACCTGTTTACTAAAATAGCTAAATGGGTTTTTCTTCTCTTTGCCATGCAAACTGGCCTGTACTCGAAACCCACAAACAGCCATTTGAAGCCGTTGTTTTTACACCCAAGGTTAAGTTTGTTTCCCTGAGCCACCCAAAGGTCTTTAGGTGAACAAGAAAAAGCCTCTCTGTAAGTTACCTGCTTGGTTTGGAGGCTGCCAGCCCTTGGCAGAACCCAGGGGTGCCGTTGGCTTGAGGACTGCAGCAGGTGTGGTGTTGGCAGGAGCAGGTCTCACATCCACGTTGTCCTGGCAGGAAGGGACGCTCCTCACCGGGGCAGGCTGGGCAGCTTCCAGGGAATCACTGTTCAGAAATGAGGCAAAAGTAAATAAATGCTTCTTGCTAGAACAGGAGAATTTGTGAAATGGAGATGTGGAGTGAGATTCCCTTCACCCCCCGTCCAACAATGCAGCACCCACTGGTCTGTCATCACCAACAATGCTGTGGTAGTTACAGTACACTAAAGCTGCTTTCTAAGAACTGGACATTTGAGTAAGGTCTGCCAAAAGTCACTACAGTCAACTAAACCCCTTCACAATTTTAATTTTAAAATAGTTGTAAGTTTCTTTAGTCATTAAACAACATGCACAATATTTTATATTACCTCTTTAGAGCACTTTACAGCTGCTTTTATATTTTAAGGGTTGGCAGAACTCTTTTAGCTCTTTAAAAACACACATGATGAAAACCGAACTTAATCACAATTCACCTGGAGTGCAAGTAGCCACTAATTACATTGCTAGCAAGAAAATCTTCCATTTCTCACTTGCCTTTGGGAAGCTGAAAATAAATATTTTTATTTAAAATATTCAAAGTAGAGGAGTAATTACTAATGAAAGTCATTTGCAAAACAAAAGTACACCACAACCAGGAAAAGAACATACATACATAAAATACCATTCCGAAAACATATTTTGCACAATTTGGAAACACATTGATAAGAAATGGTTAAGCCCCTAAAAAGAATATACGGCACTAGAAGCCTTGTATTCTTTCCTCTATTGAAGAAAAACAAATTTACAGCACATGTGCACCATGCGTATTTTCACCAGGGTCATTCCCAGAATTACAGGTTGTGCCAAGTTCGTAAAGTAAAAAATCCATGAGCTATTTTTACATTACAAGTGTTGCACATGCACAGTACTGCCTTGCCCATATGACATGCAACCACTTGAACACACCATGAGACCAAAACACTGTTCATAACCTTCATTTTTTTTTAATTTTTTTGTTGTCTCTAGGTTTACAGGGTAAAAAAATCATGCATTTACAATCTTCTTCTGAGTAAGGGACAAAAAAGTTATTCACAGTTTGGAGAATAAATCTGAATGCTCAGTTTAATGAGTAGCAGCTATGGCAATTGCAGGCTTTTGGTAACAGCAGTATCTGTGCTGAACTGGCACTGGTGGATTTGCTGTGGGCACAAGCCCAGTGAAGCACAAAGTGAGACCTTGCATTCCATTATCTTCAAATGTTGAAAAGATATTAAAGACATTTGTATAGCTCAAATGGAGTACATGTCAGATTCCTTTGAGACTCATGTTCCAAGTCTTTATTACAGGCAGATTTTGAGGCAGTGGAGATACAGGGCATAAAAGTGCTAATGCAGACTGAAAGACAAAGGATAGGTAAGTACCCTCTGATGTGAAATAGCAGCAGTGGTTGAAAATGACAAGGTAGTTTAGGATTGGCTTCCACAATGAAAAAAGTGCATGTCTGTAACTTCATTGTTACAGAAACATCCTTCTGTACTGTTGAATATATTTGACATGTAGCCCATCAAAACCACTCCAGGCCAGAGCCCCACTGTAACTTTAAGAATTTCTTGTTAACACTGTTGGTGCTAAAAAAAGAAAGTTTCCTCCTTCTCCATCCAAGAGGCTCATTACTGCTGGTCAAATAATTTTTCAAGTCTAGCACCTCTTTACTGCCTTTGTCTGGAACATATAAGTCATAAATAATACAAATCATCAGTCAGAAATAAGAAAATCCTGCTGACTCAGCAGCTGTCTTTTACAGCAGAGAGTACTTGACAAGTAAAAATGGATTCCAGACAAGCAGAAAAGGTGTCCTCCAGGGAAAAGATGGCAAGGAAGCAGACTCTGATGGATGCCCACAAGGCTCATTGCAATGCTGACTAGAAACGACCACTGCCATTTTTGTGGTGGAATTTTGAGGCTTGTAAATGACATGGCATGCCAGTTCCTGAAGCAACAGAATGTTGGAGACACTCAGGCTTTCATTTAGAAATTAGGTGAAATCCTAAAGATCCCAAACTAAAAAACAATTATAAACCCAGGTATAAGCTACCTCTGATTTTTTTTTCATCATCTCTGGAAGTTTATGTGCCAGGAGACTCAAGCAAGAAGCTTCCCAAGGGAAAATCCTGAAGCCATCACTCTGAGCAAGAGGATGTTGCTGGTCTCAGGGCAAAATTTCTGATAGAACTTGGACACCCTTTGTATTGCATGTCTGATTCTTTAAAGCAAAAATTGAATAAACTCAAGCCACAAGCACAGCCTGTTAATTTAACAGGCAGGCTGTTACTGCAGCTGGGAAAGTCACAACTGTGTGATATTGCCCACCTATGGCAGGCTGCATGAAATAATGCGGCATTTTTCTGGAATTACAGCCTCCAATCAGCTGGCTGTGAGTGCACATGCAGTGTTGTCTGCAGAAGGACTGATCCATTTTTGTCTCACTTTCAAAGATGCACTGCACCCCCAGCAGTGTCTCCCTCATAAGAAGTTCAACCTTTTAAACGCCAAACTTCAAATTCATACTGCGAAGTTAGTTCCTCAACACTTCATGTTTTTCTACACTGAGAAACACTCAAACTCTAGTTACTGTTATCCAGCTTTACGAATATAGTGATGGACCTTTCCAGAAACGCAGTTATCTTCTACAAATGGCTGTACAATGGCCACAATTATCCCCACTACTATTTTGCAACTCACTAGGGTATTGTACAAGGATGACCCAAGTTTCACCATCTAGAAAATACAGGACTTGAAGAGGCAAAAAAATATACTGAAATTTAAGAAAATATATTATGGAAGAGAGCTCCCACCTGCTTTTCAGTGTCATCACTGGGAAGCTGAGGGAGGAATGATAAACTTTATGTATTTACCAAGTCCTGTGTGAGTATTTCTCAGACTTCCCAGCTGACACTCATGGGTCAGCTTCAGGTCAAGAGCATTTTAATCTCAGAACACTTGTACTATTACTAATGACACACCTACCTTCTGCCTCTAGCATTAACATTTTAACTCTGTTCCATAGCTTCTAAACTACTCCTTCTCCACCTGATGAATACTTACAGCAAATACCAATTTTTTCCATGATGAAAACAAATGCAACCAAGAGGCTCATCCCTGCAAGCCAACATTTCCTGCAAGCTGTGAATGCTCTGCTGTCAACCTTTGGGCAAGGGATTTTAACACTGCAAGAATGAAGGAATGGTGAAACATGAGTCTGTCAGATTCAGTCTTGTGCCCTGAAAACCCATGAGAAGTTTGATTAATAAGCTATGGGAATATTAATCAAAATAATTCTGGAAGTGTGTTGCAAGGGAAACAGATTGCAAAAACAGCCCAAGAAAAATGTCTGGCAAAGAAGCAAGCCAAAGACACCTCTCTATTTTTTACATATGCTAGCTTATATTTAACAGACATGCCTGAAATTCCATGGAGAACAGCTCCTACTACACAGTGCAGCCTTATTTTATCAAAGTGTGTGTATGGAAAACAAACAAATTTCTGGGGAGCCAGTCAAGAGGCTTGGGGGGACACACACAGCTCCAGTGCCAATGCAAACTTTATTCAGAGCCCACAAAAGGCTCCTCAGACCCTGTCTCCTGGTCAACAAAAGCACTGTTGGAAACTGGAAACTGGGGAAAAATCCCTAGAAAAAGCAAGTAGTAATTCCTCCTCCTCTGAGGGAAGAAGTGGGTCCAAGTCACACATGATATAAGCATCTGTTTTTCAGAGACCAGGCTGAACACATTTCAGAGGCGTTTTAAGAAATTTGCACTGGAAAAATGTTCTGAATGTATTTAGAGGTTTTGATGCTCCTCCCTCCCTCAAAAACCCCAAACCCACAAAAATGAAACAAAAACCCCCAAAGAAACAAACAAAAAGAACCCTCACCAGAACAAAAAACAAGCTAACTCACAAACAAACAAACCCAACCAACCCCCAAGAAAACAACCAACCAAACCAACCAGAGAAGAAAAACATATAGATGCCTAAATCTCCTTCATCCTTCCATGGCAACTCCTACACAATGCTGTGCTGCTGAATTTCTTCACACAAACTTTAGGGAAGCTAATAATGGAGATGTTGCTATCAGCCAAAGGGACACCTACTAAAGAACTTAAAAGGAATTGAGCTTGCTGCCATGTAACTTCTCAGCACGAAAGTGATAACAAGGGCCAAGTCAATTGGACTTTCCCGAGCAGGTTCAAGGGATATGGCTGGACTTTCTCCTCATGCAAGCCCAAGATACTGGCTATCCATCTGTAAAAATTATCAGTTGGGCCCTAAGCTCAGTCTGGTACACCAGTATTTTACTAATAGTTCTGTGGCTATAAGTGATAGCTTAAGTAGCTTGTTAAACTAACTTGTTCTGTTGTCCAGAACAACTGTGGAAGTTGTTGGAACAAATCCACTGCAGTGTGAGGAAATCTGCTGACAAAACAGGTCACGTAGTAGCTAAGGGACAGTTTGTAAATGCTTTCTCCAGACAGCCAAGAATTCTGTGACTTGGATCTCAGGTCTCAATTGTTTGTCATACCAATCATGTGCTATATTTTGTCCAGTATCAAAGTACACAATAGCTAAAAATATATATAGGAAACCAGAAAAAAGTAGGTATGACAATGATGACAGAACTCCATGAACAAGGGAAATACAAATGGCTTTTTGCAAGGGTTTTCTGGTGTAACAATAGAGAAACAGAAGACAAGAAGTACTGAGTGCTGACCTTGTTCCCACCCCTACTACAAGCCCACGGTGTCAGTCAGTGTTTACAGTTCGTCTTAACCTAACAGTGCTCCAGTACCTTGTGAGAGAGAAGAAAAGCAAACCGAAGTAATAGAAAGAAAGAGCAGAGAAAGTCATCTGGGTGGAGATATTTCTGTATCAAATTACAGGGAGGGAGTATGTAACCCCTCTGTAAGCAGTGCTCTATACACAGAAATAACTCAAAGCACCTTTCAGAGTAAGTATTCTCACAGAGGTAACACCAGTGTCCACCTCAAAAGGCAAGACTACTATTTCTTTAAAGGAACTGAATGTAGTATAGTATCAGGAAGATAAACCAAAAGCCATGCCAATAACAAAAGGGCTGTCAACACCCATTCTTGCAAGTGTTTCCCAAAATTTCACAGTGTTTCTACCTTGAGATTTAATTTTAAGGCAGAGCTCCAATTCTTGGTCATGCAAGTTATTAAATACATCATTTCCTGTGCTGCATATGTGTAGTTTGTTAAAAAACACACAAGCCCCATAAACTCAAGGCTATCCCTGTTGCCATTAGGATGAAACACTTAGCTTAGTAGGAGATTGCATTGCTGTTATACACCCCTAAAAAAACCCATTACAGAGGAGTCTGGTGGGGAAGAAAACGTGTAGATGTTCATCACAACTTCAGGCCAGTTACTAAGTCAGAAAAAGGTCAAGTATTCTGGCAGCTACCCAGTACAGTGCAGTTTAACACAGCCAGCTTTTTGGAGCAGAGACAGTGAAGTGAGAGGGATAAAAGGGAAATATTTCTGGAGGAACCTTACTGCAGAACAGAATCAACACCCTGCTTTTATTATAGCCACAACCTTCCTGAGTTTGTCCTCAGAGACAATGTAAAGAAGCCTAAGCTACCTTGGTACTGCATTCTGTTGTACACTTGTCTCTTTAGTTATGGGACATAAGATTTCAACTCTCCTTTCTTATCAACTATTTTATTGTGGGATGAAGTGAGTTGACATTTAAAACAACTTTTCAGCATTACATTTGTTTACATATCATGTCACTAGATGGATTGTAATGCAAAGACATTTTACTACCTAGTTTCACAGTCAATGGATACATTTCTGTCAATTTTTTTTTTCTGACATAATTGATTCTTTTGCTTGATCTTTGTTGAAATTCAATAATGATATGTAGTTACTCACATTACATTTATCTTCTTACATCTCCTTTTCCTCAAGCCATATAAGCAAAGGCTATGGTCCTTTATTTAACAGGCCAAGACACCACACAGCTTAATTTCTTCAGCTCCATCTACTGGTAACCTCTCCCTCCTCAGGACTAAGGATGATAATATGGAAACCAGAAATCATTACCCTCATTTGTTGTATGCTATCTTCAGGGCAACACTGGGTATTACTGGAAAAAATCCTTTTTAAAATGCAGTTTTATGCAGAGAGTTCTCAGACTAGCTGTACTGCTACATCACATGTCACAAATTTTAGGTCATATCCTTTTTAGGATGTCACTAACAGCCTGAAAATCATATACTTCCTTTACCACCTTATGCTACAGCCTTGTAGCAGTAACCTGAATAACCAGGATAACCTGGCTATTGCAATGGCTTAAGAGAAAATTCATTTTTTACAAGTTTAAAGGTTGCTTTTAAAACCCCCCAAAAATCCATGGATATTTATTTCAAGCCATTCAGCATGAATCTTGATATATCCACACTGATATGGTCTTTTGGGCAGGCTTATATGGTCTCTGTACTCCCAGTGTACCTTCTGGCTCCCTGGAAAGGCAAATCTCTTTCTACCTGTATCAGTTGGAAGAGAAAAACAGATGAAGCCCCTCCAAAACTGGACTTCAGCTGTGGAAGAATGAAACCAGTTCTCCACTGTTCCCTGCCTTTTCCAGCACACAGCCCCATGTACTTGTAAGGGACAGCAACTGAATAGAGACACTTTGGGAATCCCAACACTGACAGCATCTCCAAAAATAAATCTTCAACACCAGGAGAGTTTCCACTCAGAGTGAACAAACAACGGACAAACAGAAAGCCAGTTACAGATTCAGGAAGAAGAAAGTTTGCATTAATGAAATAATCCAATAATCCACCTTCATTTGCCATAAACAAGGCATGTTAGTGAGTGAAGGAAAAATAGAAAAGGGAAGTCAGAGAATTTATTTTCACTCTACTGAAGTATCACCAAACAAACACCACAGCTAAAGAATAGTCTTGGTGATGGCATGGCCTGGGCTTCACCTGTAGTGCACAGACACATATCAGAACTCCTCAAGAGATTTTCTCTTTCAATGTGTACATAAAAGTTTTCTAGTAAGATCATTCAGTGGCAAATATAAAATTGATATTTTAAGTTGTATTGTATCACCACAATTCTGTTAATGTTCCTTTTTTATCTTTTTAAAGTGGATATGCTACAAGTTTGAAATTTTCATACAAATAAAAGTGGTTTGTTGTCTTATAAACCACTATTTCCCCTCCCTGAGGTTAAGACTACTTTAGCCTTCTCTAGAGATTGAGGTCACCTTGGAAGCCACAAAACAGAAGAAAAAGAACTAATACTTGTTACTCAACACAAGTTTCTACATCAAGTGGATCTCAGCTCTACTTAAAATTGGGCCTTATCCCTAGAAGGGCCTAACACTTGTGAAAATGTAAAGAATTGTACAAGAAATATAAAGAATATAAAGAAATGGGTACAAAAATACCCACAGATTATTTCTTCCTTAGCACAATTTACTACACACTGCCCTGTAAAACAACCAAGCAGACTCCTGCCTGTGCAGCTGAAGTCATAAAAGCAACTTTCCGCTGAAGCAAGCGTTAACATCGCTGCGGTCAGGAAAGGAGAACAAACAGTCCTGTGCACTGAACAGAATCAGCGCTGGAACAAAGGGCCTAGACAGCAAATAATTTTTAAAACAGTCATTTTCTGGCCTGCATGCCAGTTATTTGATTTTATACATTCAAAGTGAGCTTTAAAAAAATAGCCTAACGTGACGCTTAGTTGCTCAAGGAACTATGGCAAATAATTCACCCACACACAAGTTTCAAGCCAGAATCTCTTGTTTCTTCTCCAGACACCTCTGTAGAGGGACACTGCCTCCCTCAGAGGCTCACAACACAACGCAAGCACCACCATGCATATCAGAGGGCATATTGAAGCCAATGAGGAAAGGAAACTTTAGTATGGTGGACTCGCACAAACACCATCAGCAGGCCCAGGGTGCACATTAGCTGTGTAAAAAGATGAAACCAGCAGGGTTGGGGAGGTGGTGACCTCATGTCAAAAACCAGGACAGGCACAAGCATGTGGACAACAGAAATGTGCTTTGAAGGAGCAGCCAGTTCCCTGTGAGTCCCAAGTGCCAACCACACACCACACCTGGACAATACCTCTGGCTCTTTGGCAACTCCAGAGCGCTTGTGGACTTCCTGGAGGGTGCGGTGGCCTGCAGAGGAGGCTTAGCGACGGGTGTGATGAGCAGGGCATCCAGCAGCGAGCGGTAGGCACTAGGCTCATGGAGTCTAACAAGTGTGTAAAAAGACCCCATAATCAAACAAGGTGACCACACAAACTTCAGGATGGCTGGGACCACTGACAACCCAAAATCCCTTACGAAAAGTCTTATTGGAGAAACTGAACCCAGGACAACTGATGCAGGAATTATGTCTAAACAGGCAGCCTGCAAAGTAGAGGCTGCACAACTCAGTGGGTTGTCTTGTGCCTCCCCTAAGGTGTGAGAAGCATGTTTTTCATATATTTTTGAATAAAGTAAAATAAAAAGTAATGAGAAAATTTTTTCATCTGTTTCAGTTTTCTGATTTTGTGTATGCTTTCTAATGAACATAATTTAGGACATCTATGCAATTTAGAATTACACAAATATGGATATTATTGCCTATTAAAAATATTTTACTGATATGAACGAATGATTGAGAAACTTCTCAAAATGTTTGCTCTAAGCAAGCCTTTGTAAAAAGAAATACAGTAAAGATTTAGATGGAACTTGGCAAGCTATTGTTTTCAAGCTTGCTTTCAAAAGTTCCTCAAAGTTACAGATTATTCTTTGTCACTCAAGTAACACAAATGCTATTTACAGTTAATTTACTAACTGAACTGTAAAACAGGTATCATGAGGAACAGAATGGTAGAATTACTCACCAAGGTTCAGAACAGCTAAGCTATAAATAGGGCATATAAGCTTTGGACATATTCTAATGACTTGGCCCCTATTGTGAAAGAGCCAATTGATTTCACAACCCTGACAGGGACCAATTATTCTTGTGTGAACTGGAACCTCCTTAAACCAACCTATAAAACATTCCTTTTGAAGCTGATATCTACCTGGCCCGGACAGCAATAGCAGCAGACACTGCAGCAGCAGCCATGCTCTTAATTTTTGATCTCTGCTCAAAAGGAGAAAGAACTGGAGGAGGAGAGGGTCCAAGGATTGGCAGATTTCCCGAAGGATCTTCCAGCATTACTTTTGCAGTGCAGATGCTTTGAGCCAAGGCAGGAGAAAACACAAAGTAGGAAAGATTGGCAGAGATACAGTACAACACCAAACCACATTAACCACTGGAAAGTTATGGAAGTTTCCATCTCACAGAGACATCAGGCAACGTGTAAGTGACTTGAATACTAATATAGGAAACAGCAATTTTGATTTCACCCACAAATAAAACTTTCCTCTAATCAAGTGAGCATTTAGCATCTGTCAGCCTTCGAGTTCCTCATCATAGACTCTGCCTCACACACCTGGGTCATTTGCACTGAACCAGGGACCAGAATTCTCCACATGGATCTATTTAAGTCTCCATGGAGTGGACAGAATTACCCCTGAAGACCATTTACCCTTGTCTTCTTTTTGATAATAAATGGTAAACATAGAAAAACAGAGTATTTGGTGATGTAACTTCTCCAGGTCCACTTTTAGCAACCTTGACAAATTCATCATGTAAACCCCTTTTTATTTTCTCTACTTATTTTACTGGTAGAAATTAACTTGAACAGACAAAAAAGAAAAAAAAAGTGAAAAACCCAGACTACTTCCAAAATAACTCCTACAATTTCTAACTTGTGTTCTTCTAATTGTGTTCCTAACTTGTGTTTAAAATTTCAAGATTATCCACCAAATTGCTGTGTATTTTTTAAATTACTACCAAGATGGACAAAACACTCCAAATACCCACACAGCCATATACCACTTCCCAAATTTAAATGCAAAAACACTGCCTGAATACCTTACTTACACCTAGAAATCTGCTGTAGATGTACCTTAAAATATTTTCCTTGTATGACTTACAGATGATTTAGACTGAAAACTTGAGATTTTATTGAAAGGATTTGTTTCACAAGTAAGCAGAGATGCTTCATGCCTGCCCAAAAGCAGCAAGAGAAGAGAAATCATTAATCAAACACTTATTTCACCTCTGGCAATACTAACTAAAGCTCTGAAGTTCATTTAAACTTTTTTCTATAAGCCATCCTTACCCATAAGGTAAACAAAACAGGTATGTTTCTTGCAGGTATCCTGTAGTGTTAATTACTGAGGGAAGCACTTTCTCTCTCTGTTGGTAAAGATCTATATTCTGGTTGTCCCATCACTACACAAGTTAAAGCTTGCATTCTCCTCTAAAAATTTTGGGTTACTGGACAATTTAAAAACACATATTTTGTAGCAAGGGTGACTATATTCTCCTCATGACACCAACTTCTGCCAACAAAACCCAACTGAACCTCCTGCCCATGACTCTGGCTTTTCCTCCTCCATCAAAAGGCTGCTGTAATTTTTAAACTATTTTTAGAACTTTTGCCTAAAAGCTACTTGAATTTATAATTACTATATAAATTGCCAGAGCACTATGAGGGTCAGGAAACCTTGAAGCTGCTCCATCTTGACAGCATCACCATCAAGGTTTCAGGTGAAAGTGTATGGCTTTAAACTAAGAGATAGCGGGAGGTGGCCCTGCCTATGGCAGGAGCATTTGAACTAAATGATCCTTGGAGTTTCTAACTGCACCTCTAACACAGCTGACTTGGATGTACCTGGCAAGGGCAGGAGGCAGCCCGAGGGCTGTTCCCACATGCAGGGCTGGAGGAGGCAGCCCTCCAGCTGGGTCAGCAGGCAGAGGGAACTCGATGGTCTGTGTGGCCACAGCACACATCTTGGGGACAGGAGGTGCTTCATCTGCCGGAAAAGAGCTCGCTGCATCTGGAGCAGGCACCGTTATCTCCCTAGTTGATGTTAATTTCATGAGTAATTATAATGAGACAATATACAGAGAAGAAATTTCTCATTTGATTAAAAATACAAAATAGCAATGGACAATTCTTTCTAGCTAGTATTCCTGCATCTTTTGTAAGAAGAATAAGTGAGTAGCAGATAAAGGCTTTTTTACCTCCTTCTATAGGAACCAAATACTCATGCCCTGGGAATTAGACGATGCTGAAAACAATTTTTTGAGGCATTTTTACAGCTAAAGTTTGAGTGCTTGTTTAACCACAAAACCAAACTATTTGGGTAGTTACTTAAAAGATAAAAGAAAAGAACAAGAGCACAATCAATATACAAGAAACTACCTAGTGTCAGGAGATGACACTTCAGACACCGAGGCTAGTTGGCTGCTGACATTTTAAATCTGAACAACTGAAGGGAAGATGAGGTGTATACTTGCCTAAGACTTCCTAAAGGTTCTCAAACAAAAGTTCTGTACAATAAAAGAAAGCAGGAGGACAAGTAGCATTCACCATGAGAGAGCAATATTTCTCTCCCATATTTTACTTCCTCTTCCTTGTCATCACACTGAAACAACCATAAAAACTCTGACAGTTTTCATATGGTCAGCCTGAGACCTCCTCTTCCCCCAGGCTACAATTTCTGCGAGAATGTTCTTGGCTGTCCACTTATCAGAAAATACACAACAAAAATCAGGACTAATAGCTATTATTACTTATTACTAAGTCTTTGTATTTATATCAGGAATAATTCCATTAAAAGAAAATACAAAAATAGGTCTGCATGATTGTAAAAAGCTGTATATGAAATACAATCTAAAGACCTGCTGGCATCACATCTGTTTTATATTAGTTATACATTTTCTCTGGAAGCACCATATTCTGTGGTTTATATGGTCTAATGCTGCCAGGATCACTTTTTAAGATGACTTTTTGCAACTTTCTGGAAAGGCTGTAAGCACTCTTAAATATTTTACTGTTAAACTTACAGGAGAACATCACATATATGTGAAATAATGTAATAATGTATAATTTACAGTAGTTGGTTATATAGACATACAACTATTTAAGGCTTTCAATAAAGAACTAAAACTACAATAAAAAAGCATTATGAAGTCTATCTTATAAGCAGCTCACCTAACTTCAATCTAGAAATCAAATCCAGATCCTCCATACCTTTCACAGCAAGCTTTCTCCTTCTTGGTGGTTAAGAGGTGGGTGGTACAATTTACGGAGCCTCAGCCAAGAAAAGGTGGAGCCCATTCAGAAAATAAGGACCTATGCCAGTCCTTGACAACAAATTCAAGGCTTCAGTAGCAAAAGCAAATCGACTTACCCTTGGATGGCCTAATTTAGCTTTACTAAAAGCTTGACATGGCACTCAAATTGCTCCATGCAGATTTCCAATAGGTGCCATTTAATTAAAAAGGGGGTTTGAAGATCAGATTTGCTGTTATTTCCCACATGAAAGAGCATTATAAAAGCAGCAACATCTGCTCAGTAACAAAATATAAACATTAACTATAGTTGCTACACTGATGACCTCTCAGTTCAGAGGAGACTCCAGACTGGACAGCTGTATCAAATAATTTGTTCTTCTTCCCACAACTAATGCTACACCTTCCCTCTACAGCGCTGCAGAAGCTGCTCCAATTTCTGCCCTTCTTGAGCAGAAAATCCTTACCATCTATGTTTTTATTTGTAAAAATACTTTGGCTCTCATCCTGAACCACCATGAACACAGCTGCTTTTCAGAAATCTAATGTGAAAACATTTTAAAGCTGCTCTCTTGCTAGGTTAATTTTGCCAAATAACAAAATTTAGAGCCATAGGTCTTGAGTGAGATTAGATTTAAATTACCTTTGCCTGGACTCAGATAGGAGTTAGGAACTTGGTACTCAGAACACAGTAGCTATAGTGGTACCTGCAAGGCAGGTTCTACAGCTCAGTAGAACCATAAAACGGTCTGGACTGGAAGGGACCTTAAGGGTCATCTACTTCCAGTCCTCCTGCTGTAGGCAGGGACACCTTTGACTAGACTTTGCTCAGAGCTCCATCCAACCTGGCCTTGAACACACCCACGGATGGGGCAAGTAGGTGTAATCATACTGGAGTTTCACTGGTAGACATGAAAATCAATTACTGAAGCAGTACTTTTTGCACTGCCTTTTTCACCTCAGGTTTTCTGCTTACAGTACTTTTTGCACTGCCTTTTTCACCTCAGGTTTTCTGCTTAAAAAAAAAACAATCACCAGGACTATGATACATATCTATCATACATCTACTGTGTCTATTTTTCATCTTTGTTGATTTAAGAAAATTTGTGGCTGAAAACATCACAACCAAATCTTCTTTACTGTACTGGCTCAAACCAAATATCACCATGAAGGAACCTACCAGCCCATCAGCCTCCATCACTTCCTGCCTAAGCTCATGTTCATACCTGCTTCTCCCAGACAACCCTCACAAGACACCACAATAGACTTATCTTTTTTTGTCAAATTTCTCCTTGTCTCTCAGCTAGTTGAGATTGCTGCTTTAAACATTTAAAACTGGTCAATGCCAAATCTTAGTATTCCAACTGCAGAAAGCCCACACAGGTGTAGGCAACAATATATTCTTGTATGCTTTAATTCAAGCATACATGTCTGTCTAGAGCTTGGCAGGACCAGGCACTGTTCATTTAATTCTCATTTTTACAGGAACAGCTTTATTTCACGTTATGACCTTGTGCTTGTGCATGCTACCTGGAACTCAAGAACTCCTGCACAATGAAAGACAAACTATCAGAAAAAGGAATTGACCAACAGTAACAATTGATCACCCTCCAAACCACTGTCCCTGTCTTCTGCCTAAAATTATTGCTGTCTAGTACTCAGAGACAACCTCCAAAGCAGCAGCAATTTGCCAAGGTAAGTGCCAGTAAAACTACCCAGGGCCAGTGACAGGAAATTTGCCAGATAATCCCCTGGCTTTCTGTGGCTGTATCACAGCACTGTGTTACAAATTGAATAACTCATATTTTTGAATATTACTTTCATATTTCTAAATCCATATTCACTTTTGATTTGTTGAGACCACTGAAAAGCTAATCCAAGTGATAGGGTGGAGACCCACTGACAGCATACACACACTAAATATTTTATCTTATTTTAGCTAGTATCCACAAGACTCTTCACTAATTTCCTCATTTTTATCTAATTTTTTCTCCTTCTCTGTCTTACCATTTCCAGGAAAATCCCTAGTCACAGCAGCTTAATGAAGTTTATTTTAAGTGAATGACAAACAACCCTCTCTCCTCCAAGACAGACAAATCCAGGCTAGAACAGGATAGACTGCTAACTGAATCAAAACCCTTGTGAATGATTTACCTTGCAGGAACTGGAGCAGCAATATGTTCAGAAAGTTTGGGAGAGGGGACACTGCCAGGGTGGGAATCTGCTATCGGCAAAAGGGCGGCTGCAGGTTCTGGACTAGCATTGTTTCCACTCCATTCACAGTAATAAAACCAAGTGAAGACACACAGAGAAAGAGATTTTTAATCTACATTAAAATAGTATGCAGAACAGGAAACATTGTGCATAAAAGTGATAGTAAACTGAGAAGAGAAAAAAAAACAAAACCCCAAACCCTAAAAAAATCTCCAAAAAGACCACAGAATTTACAGTAAAATACAATTAAGAGGATAAAATGACACAAAACACACTTAAGAAGTATCACACTTTCAGTGAAGGCTGAGAGCATCCTGATGCTTTAAAATTCAGAAAGCCAAGTAATACTGAACATTTACAAAGATGGAACACAAATATTTGGGATTACATTATGTGCTGGAAAACAACTTTAGAAAATACTGAAAGTGACAAAAGTGCTAGTGGGACTCACCCCAAAGCTTTATATGCTTTTTAATACAACTTTTTGGTTGTGTTAGTTTTGTGAACATTACACTTTATATTTCTCAGTATTTTTCATATCCTTTCTGTGATTCAATTGTTGTAGGAAAAAATATAATCTAGAAAATGTTGTCTTAAAACGCTCTACTTGAAGGAAAGCACCTGCTAGATATATCACTGTAATACACCAAAAAAAAGTAAACTGCAAGGTAGAGAGCAACCCCAAAAATAAGTCTTAAGCAGCCTAAATTAGCAGGGGCAGGCATTTCTGCCTTTTTTTTTTCTTATGTTAGTATGCAGAATTAAGTATCTTATTAAAGCAGGGAGCCTTAAGTGCTGAAGATTATTGAACAGATTTAAGAATGACCAGGGAGCAGACCTCAAAGGTGGTAAAGGTGTGGATGGAAATTCTGGTGCAGGTGGCATCTCCAAAGTCGGGTTAGCTATGGAGTTTTTATTTAAATTAACACAGGCATCCTGGGTTTCTATTCCATCAGATAGATCTGCAGGTATGCTTTACATATATTTATGACATGTGAGAAAGAAAAATACATATTTTATGACAGATTTTTTGAAGACTGACTAAGAGTAGGACAGATATTTTCCAGTTGCTGTGGATTAACTAAACGACAAATCTGGAAAATCCTCACTCAGGACAACAAATGGACTCTACAATTTAAGGCCAAAACCAAATTCAGACATGGCTGCTCAAATGAAGAGGGTTAAAAGTGAACATTAAAAAAAAACCAAAACTTTGGAAATAGGGTGCTGCAGAAATAGAAATAATCTGAAACACAAACTTTATACAAAGGCTAGGCATTGCCTAAGTCTTAAGTAACTGGCTTATAAGCTCCAATCTACACATTTCAGTGAGAGGTTTCTACTTCTATTTCCTGTCTTTCCAGCTGCTGAAGAGAAAAATCTATTTTATCCAAACAAAAATCCCTAGTGGGTTACAGTTTAGAAATAAACAATAATAGAAACCCCACAGAACATCTGTTTTGGACAATGCCTGCCTGAAAAGCTGAGGGTTATGAAATTGGGATATTTTACTGAAGTAAAACGATGATGAAAGAATTTTCTATTTCATTGCCATATTGATATTTTAATTAATATTGATATGAGATTTCTAAAATTTAAGCTTATTAGTTTATATAAAAAAACACTCATAATATGTTTTCAAAGATCAGATGTATGCTAGGAAACAAACACGAGATAGGGCATGTTTGTCAGACACAAATGAAAAAGTGGTCCATTTCTGGGAACAGTAACAAAAAGTCCAAAATTTAACGCCACTAAGTTCTGTGCAATGGGGATATTGGGTGCAACGGGTTCTGTGCAATGGGGAAGAGATGACATCTTTCAAGCAGTAAATGAAATTAATTTCACACATTGATAAAACATATTTGGAACTAGTGGTGTTTTTGCAATGAATTTATAGAAAACGAATAATTTCTCAGTCTCTCTCAAACTACTCTCATATCCTTAAAAGACAGAGTATGTCTGTGTTTAGTTTTACTCAAAACAGAGGCTTCTATTCTTTTGATTATTTGAACTCTTCTATTTCTCACTACAATTCACCCTTCAAAAGGTTAAGAGCTAGTAAAATAGATAAACATAATGGTAAGTTTAACAACAACAGGAAAATATTCTCATTACCTAGGGACATCTCCAGAACATAAAAATACCTGAAGGTCAAACTATTTTGCCCTTAAAAAGAAACCTTTACAGAGAATCTAAGCAATAACCCTTCTAACCTTTCAGTTTTCATTGCATTGATGGTGTCTGAAATGCCCACATTTTTTTCTGTTCATAAAGAAATTATATAAACCCAGAAGCACAATTTAAATACACTACTTCACATTCCCATTTTAATATGCAGCACTCAATCAAATTATTATATTGTGGTGTATGTGCATTCAGTAACACACTTGGGTTTAGTAACACAGTACTCACTGCCAAGTTACGTGAGGGGAGGGCATGGAAATTAAATTGATTGGCATTTCTCATCAAAGTACTCTCCAGTGAAATTATTGAAGTGAATGTTTTCCCCTACTGTCCCTAAGGAGTTAACCCAAAAAGTGTGCAAGATGTGATATCCCTTGGGCCATCATTACCAGGGCAAATCTGTGCAGTGTTAGGCATCCACATTGGTGACTGTTAGTGTTAGATAACTTATCTATTACCTGAAGTCTCCATTTTCTGTTTGCCTTTTCCTAAAGATAAAATCACAAATATCATAAGCTACTGCTGTACTGTATAACAGCATAAACCATCTGAAAAGGAAACTCAAACTTAAAATAGTTCCAAAGGTCCTCTCAAGTTCTGACATTATGCAAGGTAAAAAAAACCAAAACAACCCCAAATCTTCTGCAGGGGCATCTGTTCACAGGACTAATTCCATCAGAGGAGTGTTTAGGTCAGCTGCATAAACCCAGACCAATTGCAATGGTTTTCATTGAGCAGATGTGAGAAACTGGGCTTTCATACGTACTCCACAATCAGCTTTGTTTGAGGTCTCAAACTTTATCTGTTTCAACAAGCGCTGCAAAAGCCAAAATCGAGCTTTACTTCATATAATTCTTACTCCTGTAAGGGTCAATCATTTTATTGATTCCTGCAAATCTCATGTCCATTTCAGTAACACAAACACATACCCCATTTTTAAGATGATCAGGAACTAAAATACTGGGATGGTTTTAAACAATTCAGATTGTTTCTACAATTCATGTGTGATTTAATTGTTTCTCTTCCTACAGGCTGTGAAGGTGCGATGAAATGTCAGCCCCATGCACGAGTAGACTACTCAAGGAGTCCAAGAGACTCAAAAGAAAAACAGACAGAGCTAAGATAAAAGCAACTTTTATTAAAATACTCTTCAAGCTTCAAAATGCATAAATTAATGGATGTGTAGCTACTATAATACATTATTTTACAGGAGAACCATAGGGCTTGTGAAGCTTTCATGAACACAAGAAAGCATAAGCTTCACTCTGTAATAAATAAATACTACTGTCTAATCTTGTCCCTGCTAAAAGATGTGTCGAAGCTCTTACACAGCAACATTCTGCTCCATTATTCTTTAAGTTTTCCAAAACATGAACATGTTACTAGTCTAAGCAGCAAAATCTTTATATTGAGCTTTCACGTCAATTCAAAACACTGGAATATAATTTTTTGAATTTTCTTTTCTTTGCTTAAAAGCAGTCTGTCTTCTTGCTGTACTTGGTAAAACATTTACAACCACTCTAAAATTGACCTGCTGAAAATCTAGTGAAATCCAACATAATTTTCCTGGTAGGTATGATAACCTGAAATGAGTGCATACAATCCCCTCTTCATCTTCTTTCCCCAGCCCCAGAATCAAGGTAACACAATTTCTTATCCATTTGTTCAAAAATTTCTGATTTCTAACAGCCTACAGTAACTCAGACTCAGCAATGCAAATGACTTCTTTCAGGCAGAAAAAAGAACTGAAACAGCCATCTCCTCTCCACATTGGGAGATTCAGCCACTGAAGTTGTTACGTTTTAAATATATATTTTTTGTCAACTAATGATTAGCACAAAAACATTTTCATCCCATTTTTTACACATCAGTAGGAAAGTGTTAGAAAAGTATAGAAAAGGCTAGAATTTCTCTTGCAGAAAGGCTACTGAAATACATTTCCTTTTTAAATTTTTTTTTTCTTTTTTTTGCAAAGCAGAAGGAAAAGAAGAAAGGAAGGAAGTGTTTGCATTTTGCTTTTGTAACTTGGGTAAAATCACTGGACATTAAGAACACGTGCTGAGACTTCATGGTGCCAGTCACGTAATTTTGTATATTTGGGGCTAAGGACGTGGATGGGAACCTTTTCCCTGTGGAAAGAAGTGATAGAAGAAAAATAAGAAAGAAAGAAAGTTTGTCTTAAGCAGTTTCACAATAGAGCATGCAAACTCCATGCACTATTCCTATTGCACTGTCTTCCTCTCTATCAAAAAGCTGGATCCAGTGTTAGTCAAAGTCAGTAGAGAAAGTCTCATTGACTTCAAGAACCATTAGGTTTAGCCACTGGTTGGTGCTCCTTTTGAACAATGCTTGTCCCAAAGCAAGGAGACATCTGACCCTCACTTGCAGCCAGAACAGCAATACTTCCCACCTATGTCTTGCAATCAGATTCACACTCACAAATCAAAAATGCCTGATTAGACTTGGGAAAGAAAAACACAAGCTGACCTCGTATAGGCAACCAAATTGGTCCAGGTTTACAGAAAACCTCTACACAAGCTCCTGCATAAACATTACTACTGGACTGTACCAACAGCTTTTTAAAAGGTTTGTCTATGGAGAAAAAGATCTTGATTTTTACATGCTGAAGCAAAAAGCAAAAAGGGAAGGAACATTTTAAGAATACCCAGATGTCACACAAGTGCACCAAACACTAAAAGTTAAGAATTAAAACATGCAAAGTATTAAAGTAATAAAAATGTAAAACATCAACTCACTTAGTCTTCTTCCCAGCGTCATTTTCTGGTTCTTTCACTGAAGGAAAACAGAAAATTTTTATTTTCTAGGGCACTAAAGACACTGTACCACAACACTGAGATTCTCTGCTGTGCCAATGTATTCACTACAGTGGGAAATTGCAACAAGGCTCATTAGGATTCTTTGATTCTAAATACACCCCAAAGGACATGAGTTATATCTATGAACTTCAAGAGCTTCGTTGCCAGTAGGACTGCTGAAAAGTGGCTCTGCTGGTCTCTGCCCGTCCCCTTGGCCCACTCTCCATGCTGGCATTGGGACAGGTGATTTGAGAAGCTGAAGATGAATGAAGTTAAGAGGTATTTCTTTTGGATGAACATCCAGTGGGTTTATATCAGGTGATAATCCAAGCACCTGTTTGCAGCCAGGCTGTTTCCCACCAAGGTTCTAGAGGTCTGCACAAGAGATAATGTAAATTCCCAGTCCTGATTTTAAGGCTGGCAAATCGTGCAGTAATTTTCTTACAGCATTTGTCAGCATGATAAATTCATCTTTACAGGATAACACTATTTGATGTTCAGGTCCCATACTCTTCCCTTACAAGGACAGATGAAGGGAATTGAACACAGGACCAATCAGGTCCAAAGTCAGAACATCTGTCACACATGGACAATAACCCTTATTTTGGGAGATCTTATCACTGGCTTCTAGAAATAGCTGATCTAATAAAATCTCCTGGAGAGGAGGTCCAATCTTGTCAATGCCTTCTTTATTGCAGGTCTAGCTGAGAAAAGCTGAAGAATGAGAGCTCAGAGCCCCTGAGAGCACTTCTGGTGGCTTTCACACAAAATCACAAATCTCAGCCAGAAATTTATGGCTGACAGTGTAACATGAAATTGAAGTTTTAGCATAAAATTGTATGACTGGGAATGACTTTCACAACATCACCTGTTCCACTCCACCAATATATGTAATCACACCATAGCATAAGCAGAGGGTGGAAACATAACCTGGGAATAAACTGAGGAACTACAGATTTATGTTTCTTATTGGTTACATCATTGCAGATCACATACTTAAGTACGACAAAGACCTTCTACATGCCAGAAAACACCTAATTTTTCTGAACCATTGAATTTGATCAGAAATGTCTCCATTTTGGTGAGAGAAGAAAGAAACAACAAATACATATCTTTCAATATCTTTGAGAGTAGCAATAGAAATTTTAAGATTTATCTAGAATGTTTTAATTCAGCTCAATCAGGAACACTGTCCAGCAATGTATATATCCTGAACCACTTAGTAATGGCAGGGTTTTACAGTAATATCTCCCCTTCTCTACCTCCCCTGGAGCCCAGCTTTAAACGCAGCAGTCTGTGCAGGGGCAGTGGCCATTATTCCACTTGCACCGAGGTACTCACTGTGATCAGTGCCAGTGATCTGGGCGAGGATGCGGAAGGAGCGGGACTGGGTGGTGCCTGTGCGGGGGTGCCAGTCCTCGGTGTCTTCAATCAGCCGCTTCTTGCTGGCGTCGCTGTGGGTGGGCGTGTGGTAGAACTCCGTGTAGGTGTCCACGATGTGCTTCCGCGGGGGGCTGCGCCAGGGACAGACAGGGCAGTGAGCGCAAGGCTTCACACAACATCGCACTCTGGCCGTGACTTTTCACAGCATTTAAAGGCAGCTTCTGCGCTGGCACGCAGAAAGGCAGCAGTTGAAGCCCAGCTAAACCACAGATGCAGTTTTCTGAACCAAACACACCTTTTATAATTACTCTAACCCCACTGAAATATTTCTCCTCGTTTCACTGATGGAACACTTGAGACAGTAAAAGATAGTATTATCAAGACAACTACATGTTTAAACTTTTACCGTTTGGGTGGGTTTTTCCTTGGAGGCGACAGTAAGCAAGAGAAAGTTTTCCCAGCATAAACAGGAAAATGAGGAAAAGAAAAGAAGAAATAAAGTCAGAAAGCTGAAATGAAACAGAAATGTAGCTAATTATTCTACTGAATTAGTTTCAAAATCCAATTAATAGCCATATTCTCATTCTACCACTAAAATCACCGCCCAGAACTCGTGTACTTTAATTAAACTCATGGTGGTTTCCCTGCAGGGATGAGAGGGGAATTTGTTTTGGTAAAGCAGGGCAGTCTACCTAGCTCAAATCTGGTGCCCCTTGACAAATTTTCCCTTTAGCTCCCAAGGGGCACAGCACAGATGTGTGCACGTGCAAGGACCACCCAGTACACACCAAGTCTTGTGCACTTGGCAAAGCCTAGATCAGAACCAGGCCCTCTGAAAGCATAGATGGCCACATTCTGAGGCATAATGAGGAAGTACTCTCTTTGAAAGAAAAACAGTGGGGTGATTGTTCCATCTGGAAACTTTCCCTGCAGTACCTTACAGGCTCTTATCAACCCTTGCACTAGCAAGACTTTCAAGAGTACAGGATCTAAAAGCTTTGGTTCCAGTAAGTGATGTAAAGAATGTGTCAATTTGGGAAATATGGGAAAAGAGAACAGAAGATTCAAACTATATAAATTACTCCTAATTCTACATTTTTCATTCCAAAGCATTAATCTGTAAGACCCTCTAAGTGTACATTTATTTTTACATAGGAGGAAAACTGTGAAAAACTAGCTACTAAGACATACAACTTCTAATAAGTATTGAAAATCAAAACCCAACACAACTTTAAAAGTCACTTTTATTTTTT